ATGAAGGCGTTTTTAGTAGTCTGTGATTTTATTTTCCCATGACAATTTTATTCCCAAGTAGTGATATATTGAGATGTATTAGCATCTCTCTCTGAAAATACTTTATTACTGAACGACCATCCCAACGAATGAAAAAAGCATGGAGGAAAGATTCGCTCTGACTAGACATAAGCTATATAACACGTGCATGGCACTTGTGCGCGAACACTGTACGTAACCGTCAACATACCTTATTTTCTTTGCAATAATGTCGTACAAACCTGACGTCAATCGCAATATGGCTTGTCAATAAAAGTTCACTACAAGGTAATTGTTCAGTTGTCACAGCAGTATTTACTAGGAAAAATTTCGTCCAGAAGTTCTTTTTTTGTTACATCTGTTATTTGACTGAATCGATATGCAGGTAAACGAATTCCCGGTGCTAATCGCTCATTTCTTTTTCACCGAATTTAATTGAATATAATTCAAATTTCATTTTTACGAAGAACTTTTCTGTTTATTCGTCAACTTGGAACTGGCAAAACGTACAACTCATGTTTACACTCGTGTATCATACTCAAAAGCTCCTCCAAGGTTTGAATCCCGGACGCCGTTAATCTAATTCTATCTCCAATTGTCATTATAATAGCATTTAATACCTGAATGCCCAAATTTTTATCGTGGTATGCAGTTCAAAACAAATCACGCCGATCAAAAAGGGGAAAACTTGGGGATCCGATAGTATTTAAATAACGGTTGACAAATCAACGTATATACATTATTGTATTCCGTAAGAGGCCAAATAATTCAATTTGAAAAATCAGCTTCAAGCATATCCAACCCCTGATCTGTTTCTAAACGCTATCATCTAAACAGAAACTACGACAACTGTCATTTTGATTGTCGCCACATGCATGAAGTCAAAAACAAATCGCTTGGTCCGAAAAAGAGGTGACGGGGTGGCAAGGTGGGAAAGAGTGAACCAAGTGGATTACGCGATTCCGGGATAGTATTATTCCTTATGCTCATTACAGAAATGCTTTCATGTGCTTGCTGTTTTTGTTTCTCTACCTCGATCGAGATTTTATGACCGACTAGTAAAAAGCACAATCATGATCTGCCGTTAAGACTGCACACCTCGGAGGATTGTCTGCACATGTATTATTATGCCCATCAAAGCCATTCTTTTATCTGTCAGTCAGCCAAGCATATATCACAGATGCAGAGATGAATGGAATAGCATGTGAGTGGCCAAATGATACGTCCGTTATTTGGCATCCATTTTAATTCACAATGAGATAACCAAAACAACCGAAAGGACCGAAAGACAAGAGTGTTGTTGGTGCTTGCACGAGTGCTTAGGTGTGGAGATTGTGCCTGCATGTATTTATATATCTTACACAACTGACTCAGTTACATTGTTCAACTCAATGCGGGTATTTCGATCCAACCCAAATATGCTGGCTGAACACCTCCGAACCTAGAATACACTAACGTGCGGCAATTTCGCCTACTTGATCGAAAATCACTGACAGAAATCATCCATAAAAACGATTGTATGTATAATAGAATTGCCAGCGCTGCGTATTCCTTGACCAGGCTACGAATGCTCGACCGTGCTAGAAAAATCATTGTACAATGAATGCATTGGTTAAAACCTGTCTACTATATTACATTTAACTCAAAGTCACTTGTAAGTGACTGTTTGGTATAATTTATATTGATTTGGACTGGCCATTATTCATATCTTCTGCTCACGCAAAATCCTCAAGTAATCTAGTCAACTATACACTCGGAAGCACTACACTCGAGTTTTACACTCCTCAGAGCTCATCAGTAGTTGATTCTTACCCGTTTCCACCGAGTTTTGAACACTGGACTCATTGCATGGAAAGCATATGCATTACCACTGTGCTAATCAGTGTTAGTCAAACATGAGTTATATATATATATATATATATATATATATCTGGAGTTCATAAAAACTGTAGTATGCAACCATCAGGGTTCGGTCGGCATAGACCGTAATTTATAAATAATTTATAGGGTCGATAAATCAATGATCATAAAAAACTGTTTACCCATGTGACAGATTGATAACCAGAATGCGAAAGAACAATGAACCGTCATCTAAGTTTATCCAAGTGCATGTGTGGGCGGAAATAGGATGCTTACAAGAATCTTGTTATTCTTATTGCGACTGCCCCTCATTCTACCTACCCGAAAATTGTTAGCCTGAAGTAAACCTGCAGCAGAGGCCAAATAGGTCGCATTCTCATATACCGAGGCCATCGGAGCAGCGCCGTGCAATGGTGTCCACTGGGCAGCAGCTGCGGCGGCAGCAGCTGCGGCAGCTGCAGCGGTTGCCGGATCCGGAGTAGTAAACACGGCTGCGGACGGTTCAACTGTACGGTGGAGAGAGATATGCAGATGGTGGTGGTAGTCGTTGGGTAGAAGGATGGGTAGACGGACGGACGGATGGATGTTCAAATCATGAGAATAAGAAAAATAAGCACATGACATGTAAACGGACACATGCTCCCTAGCAGCACATATAGTAGCGTTCCGAGATGGGACGACTCTACAGATGCATCTAGGAAACAATGCTTCAAGTAAATGATCAGTGAGAAAATAATAAGGGTAATCGATAATTGTACGGAGAAGGGTACAATGATCAGTCAGGGTGCTGATATGAAGTACAAAGAAATGTGTATAACAGAGTCATGGCTGACAGCACTTGCGTTTTCGATACGACGAATATATGTAGAAATGTGCATAACTACTCATGAAAGACAAGTGATGGTCTGTTTCTTCTCACTACCAGCCACTATCCGTCTCTTCACATACTCTCAAAACGTATCCACTAGGAAATGCACAACAGGGGAACAGTTTGTTTCGAAATGACAACCAGATCATTTGAAACTCTTCCGAAGGTATAAACTGACTTTTATGAGGAGCATATCGGCGGCATGATTTGAATACTATCTACGACCACAACAGAGTGAAGGGACTGTAACATGATACAGTCTACTGGGCTTCCCAATCGTAAGTTGGTCATAAGATTCAGTTGCGTCTGTCTGTCTGTCTTGAGAGATTCACTCNCTTCTTAATGTGAATGCGAGATGTATACAAAACCCATTTTCTTTATTCTCTTTACGAAAATTCTCCGAACCAAAAACAGACGGACAATCGAAGTTTTCAATACAAAATAGTTCAAATCACTTACAGCCTGCAGCTCCCCCGGCAGAAACTAGTTGGGAGAATAGGGACGGCTGTAACCCCGCCATAATACCCGGCAAACCACCGGCTACCAAGCCGCTCGGACAACCGGTCATGGCTGTGTGTTGAGCCAACCCCGGCTGTACGTGATGTGTATTCATTGTCACTCCGATCGCTCCGGGAAATTGATTTGGTCCGACAAATTTGGGCTTAGTAACTTTGGTGTTGGTGCGTGCGAACTCCAACCGCATGTGCTGATTTCCCTCGGGATCAAATTTCACGCCCTATGGTGGAGTGGATGGGGGATGGGCAGAAACACAGGTGGACAGGTGGTTATATAATAAGTTGCAATCTCTTCACCTTAATCCCTTCCCATCTCACACAAGTATGAGGACAGGCAGATACAGGACGCTGAACGCATTGTCAAAGCAACTTCGAGTATGCATGGCAGTGTGTGCGTGTACAATGTATCCGATTTCTCATTTACGATACTCCCTCCTATGCATCATACGGGGCCAATGATAGAACATTCTCGGTGGTAAATGCTTCAAGATAATCGAAATTGCTGGCTGTCAAAACTGCTTCCATTCCCCCATGCCCCGCACCCCAGAGACCCTCAAGATGAACCACATTTTGCCCAGGGTAATAGCTTAAAGGTCATGATTCTTTATTCACTCCGGGAAAGTAGAATAAGTACTAGGCCTATAGAACAGTTGATGCATCATATACCTTTTGGTGCTGACAAGAAACTCTTTGTTGTTGGTGGTGTGTTCTCCGAACCTGAAGTTTTCCTCGCAGAAGTTTCGCAGTCATGCTAGGTAACATGATCACTTCGGGGAAGATGCAGTGATGATGTTACTTAGCCTGACTACGAAACGTCTGCTAATAACGCTTCCAGTTTAGAGAGCACACCAACACCAACATCCGCATCCCGAGCTGTAATCATTCCACATTATTTACAAAGACACTTTGACTTATTTAGGTTTCTTTGTGTAACCCAATTCGCCACATAAATCAGAACCCAAACCACTCTACGATCAAGTTCACACGAAAACGGTCGCGTAATTTCCCGTACACCAAACAAAGTACAAGCCTAGAGGAAATTCTCCAGTTCTCTAGATGAACGTTTTCATGCGCAAAACCAATTTAGAAAGCACGAAACGAGGCGATAAGGAATGATGCTAATCAAGTTAATTGGTATTCATGTAATGGTAGGATTTCCTCCAAGATGTATATCGATCACAGTTGTGACAAAAAGCAGTCGCTCAACTTGTGACTTATATCATGTTTATGCCTAAATGTTGACCTAGCAGCGTGGTAAAAATAGTGCCTGAGGCTAAATTTCTGCACCATATCCAGATAATCTGTCACACACTATAAACGACCACGCTGTCTCATTCACTTTTGAATGCTTGAGTGTTTCTGCTCTCGGTTATTCAAGCGGTGCTTGAGGGTTCATTTGGAAGCAGTAAAGCCTTGAGTCATTCGTCAACTGTTTTCTAGCCAATATCGTTCGTTATGTCCAAAGAGGGCGTTTCCACCATCCAGCAAAATTTTAATTAGCGCCTTGGGGGTGATACAACTAAACATTTTGTTAGACGTATGCATATTATGTATATTAATTTACCTATCACTGTTCGGAACTATAAATACAGTGAGACATAACGATCGTAAGGGATCGGATTTACCCCAAATACCCATGCAATCGCTCTTCAATACATTTCTACTGATAAGATTAGATGTTCTATCCGGGCATGTGCATCTGCATACATAAGATCTTGGTGCAGTATTGACTATCGACGTTTTAGGTTAGAGGCAAGGGTTTTGGCTTCCATTCTATAGGTTTGCGGTGGATATTCTTGGCAAGTATGCCCTTCCTTGGAGTCCAAACAAATGCAGTGTCCACCATTAAAAACTCATTCCTTCGCATATTTGAACATTGCAATTGCCCTCTTTTATCAGTTCCCTTTGTCCATTCTTCTTATTCACTCGCGCCACATGCAGGCGTACACTGTGCAAGAAAAACCGCCTTCCTTCTACTAGCTTTTTTGGCTAATGCTTCACTTTTTCTCCAAACACTGGACTTTTCCCTGTTCATTTGGTCTCCTAACAGAAAAATACTTGGTTGCCCAAAAGGTTTTGCAAGTCAGGAGGTTCAGTTAAACGGCTGCACTGTTACCTTCTAAATCAGGGGTTGATTTTATCGGACTTCAGATCTCATATTTCGCATAGAATAATCTGTAAACCGAGTAAACCATGCTTTTGTTGAACAACAAACTCCGAGGCTAACAAAATATCCCCGATTTGAGTAATCTTTCACTTTTTTCTTGTAGCTACTAATACCTCAATCGTGATTTCCGACTGGTAAAATTGCTGCGCTTTTGGAAGTAGCTCTTTCCTGAACGCATCGATTTGCTTTCTACAACGCATCTTGGTGTTATCAATTAAAATGTTTCTATAATTAACACATTTCCATTAGTTGTGACTAATCAGTTCACCGTTTCTGTGGGAAGACGCATACAGACCACAAAGTTTAGCGTTAACCTAAACGATTTCGTATTAGCTAACCCGTACGAAAGTTCATTTTATGTACTCAGCGAGGTTGGGTCACAGACGTGGCGCTGTGGGCATTTCGATTGTCATTTGGAAGAATTAAGGAAGACTTCAATCGGTGGAGACTTTTGATTGAGTTACCAAGGTTGTCAACTCTGACTCTGCTTGTTGCCTTCGGGCCAAAAGTAAACTGACCAAGCGTCACTGAAGACGATGTTTAAAGAAAGTTGAATAAATAATCCTGGTTTGCCTTGGTATGAGCTAGTGGTCACGGAGATAATACAGGCGCCTCTTACATGAGTTCAAATCCGTGACAGCCTGATGGATTCTAGACTACTGTTCCTTGTCTGGCTAAATGAATTGGGGATTTTACTGGGAGATAAAGTTTCCGGATAATTCAAAATCAGCAATAACAAAGTCAATATATTACGTAGCATATGGATGATTGAAAAATTTTCCCAGAAGCATACGGTTTGGCAATCATTCTTCGAGGCTTGTTCATTTCGAATCAACTCCCGGGGCTGCAAATGAAATTCGCGTTGCCTAAAATTGTCAGTATTCGACTACAAGGCGGTGCTCTGATTTCAGAATAGTCTCTCCGAAACATACCACTCCACTTGAGCACACCAGAGTCCTTCCAATGCCTAATCCACGCTGATTTAGGTGCTCGTTGCACAAATTTTGACCAAAATATGGTCACAGTTGACAACTGAGCCCCGCGTCCGCCTACTTTGGTAGGGAAAACATTCCGAAATAACCTGTGATGATTGAGAGCTATTTTGATGTGGTAATTTTTAATCTAGACGGAAATAAAGGGATCAGAGCACTCACCTGCAGTTTAGACATGGCTTCCTCTGCCTGCTCACGTGATTCAAATGTGACAAAGCCAACCGGCTGAAAAGAAACCAAATGTGGATAGTAGCTGCGCATCATTTGAACACTCGGTGGAGTTACAACAAATTCACTTCAGAGGCAACTATCTCTTTTAATTTTTAGCACTGATTTGTACTTGGATAAAATCAATTGTTGATTTGCAATTTCATTGCAATTTCTTGACGATCTGGTGGATGACTTACGGATTTCGTGGGTTTTCACGACCAACTTCTGCTCTGAACTTCGATTAGTAGATGAAATATGCAAACTATGTAATTGTATAAATACTGCTGTGATTTGGTAATCTTTTCTAACAAATTTATGCATACTGGTGCTCGCGACAAAGTTGACATGTGGTCAGATATCAGTCTGGTTCCTCTCTGCTCGGGACCGGAAAAATAGGTTTTAGAAAAAGATCCTCCACACAATATTAACAGCGTCCCATGAGACCACCAGATAACATTTTGAATAGAGCAGAATGTAGTGAACAAAGCTTATTTTCCGTGATTCGTCTCCTTTGGCTAATATATCAAAATTTATATAAATCTCATGAATAACAGATGGCGTTGATAATATGTTCAAAAAAATTATTCAACAATTAAACTTGAAAAAATATATACGATGTGCATGTATGCATGAATGTATTTAGAATCTGTCTAGACCGGATGCGATGTAGATGGGTGTGTGTGTGTGAAAATGTGGTAAGTGGACGGCCACGAAGATTCATCAAATTCTTTTCACGCACACATGGGTGAACTGTTAATGGGAATTCCCAATGCATCCGCAGTAGCCAGGCTGCTATTTTTAACTCTTTCGGATTGTTATTCATAAATCTTTGTGGAGAGAGCGAGAAGCCTACTGAGTCTACTGAGTCTACTGAGTGACTTGATTTGGCAAGATGTGAATCGAAAGCGCTCGTAATTGATTTGTCACTCAAGTGCGTAATCAATCTCGGAATCAAGCGTTAAGCTTGATACGTACCGGGTCAACTTTGGGACGATTGCGCAAATGTTATACTTTCCACGAGACCTGCCTTAGTGCATAAACATAGAGACCATAAGGGTCGAACTGGGATGTTCAGTTTTAAGTTTGTACAACAACGCACTTTTGTGCTGCGGTTTCGGTTACTGTCTTTTGGTTGCCCATTTGTATGATGCAGTAGGAGAAAGACAGGAAAGATGAAAGTAGAATCAAAGAGAAATGACACATTTCAATAGACTAAGGTTGCGAAGTAACCGAGACACTCCAGGGACTAGGATGAGTCCCATAAGCCACAACTGGACCACCCGCATCTGCTCCTATCATTGGTTTCATGTGAAATACTGCATAATGCAACACCAATCTTTCTCGCGTTGACGAAGCTTATTCAGGCGCGACTCGCGGGGGATGCCAATAAAAGTAACGCAAATCAATAAAATTGATAGTTTGAGAAACTGGAAGCATAGTTTCCCCGTAACGAATTTGAATAAAGGAGCCAAAAACACAGGTTTGCACAATGTAGCCTGGATCATTTCGCTACATTCGTACACGTGCATACTGCAGTCTGTGATCATTAATATATGGTCAGTAAATAACAGAATCATAGGCGGAGAAAGATTGCGGTCAAAATTAGCCAAGTGGTTAGCAGAAACTCTAAAACCGGTGCGAGACTCCATTTCCCACTACAATTTGAAAGACAGTTTTCAACTGTGCACCTTTTTGGAAGACAGAAACATTCAAAACAAGCGTATGGTAACTATGGCTGTAAGTACACTGTTCACCAACGTCTCCCTACTGGAGACCATCGCAATCATTCGTCAAACTATGGGAAAATAAGAACATTCACGTTGGACTACCAGCAGATGAACTGGAAAGGATTTTGTTGTTGTGTGCCCATAATGTGAAATTCTCCTTCTTAGGTGAACGCTATCAACAGAACACCCCGAACATAACGTTGATAAGCCACAATGAAACGCAAGACAGCATCACCTTTTTGGATGTGGAAGTTTCACGTCAAACCGATGGGTCAATCAGAAGATCTGTGTACCGGAAGGATACATGGTCCGGACCGTATCTCCATTTTACCAGCTTTGCTCCAATGGGATATAAGATTGGTCTATTTCGAACGCTCTTCTACAGGGTGCGGCTGATTTGCACAACGGATACATTGAATACTGAATATGAAAAGATTAGAAAAGTTCTACACTCTAACGGATATCCGAAAGGGTTCATCTCAAAGCACTCTCGACCCAACCATACTCGGGAAAAGACACCAGGTGCAGATAAGATGAGAGTGGTCCTGCAATTGCCCTTGAAAGGTGACGATATCAGCTGCCTGATTACCAAGCGCCTAAATTCTGCTGTTAAGCGGACCTACTACGCAGCTGACCACATTGTTGTTTTTACAACCGACCGGTTGCCAATACCATCGGTGAAAGAACCGCTTTCTTCCCACGCCAAATCTAATTGTATCTATCAGATCAAGTGTGGA